TTTTTTCAGTGTGTGTCAGGTACTCACAAACATTGTACATTTTGGGGGCATATTAATTTTTTGAAATTTACTTTTTTTTTTTGAAATTTCAAACCTTTTTATTTCTCAAAGACCTTAGACCTGTAGATTTGTAGTTTTGAATCTACAAAAGGCAGCACTTCCCCCCACCCAAAGATTTATTTATTTATGCATACAAGAGCTGGGGTACAGGCCGGAGTTGTTCAGGTGAGAGGATTCACCAGAGACAGAGTGGAGAGCAGAACAGGTGAATCGACTGAAATACACTGTTAGGGGAGCAGTGGGTGAGACAGGAGAGGTCTGCTGTGCCATGTGGGTTACCTCCCTGGCCAGAGATCAAACTCCTGCTGCAGTGGCTACAGATAGTTGACAGTGCTGAGACTTAAACCTTTGCACCACCAGGGAGGACCCTATAGGCACAGCACTTTTGAAAAACTGTAAATTTTAAGTTATGTATTTCAATGTTTATTTCTATGTAGACTCTGGTAAGGACACTAGCATTCTATTTATACCAGTGATATAAAGCACTTTATAAAATAAATTGATTTAAATTAAAAGAGTGTCTAGAGAGAAATGGTTATATAATACATAGAGATGTGATAGAAGAGTTGAAAAAGTTGATATGTGGCTTATTGAGATCTGGGAAATACTGGCTTATTGGTAAAGAATATAAATAACATTAGATTGTAGTACTGGGATTTTAATAAGGTTAAATAAAAATTTCCTAGCTATGGGGAATATGTATTAGGATGCTGACTTTTAAAGAAATTTTTATTAAAGGAATTGAATGTTATTTGGGTCCTTGGTCCTGGCATCAGAGTAATTAAGCAAAAATAAAAATCATATTAATTGGTTGAGTGCTAAAATAAAAATCATATTAATTGGTTGAGTGCTAATCAGTGAAAAGTAAGACATATGTCAAATGCTATTCTGTTGAAAGTTCCCAGGGTTTCCTCACTTTATGTCATACAAATGTTCCCTCTTGTAGGGACAGCCTGGTGTGGTACTTTTCCTAGTTTGCGACAACATGCGCTCAATCTGTTGAGATGAGTAGACAGCATGATGCTATTTTATCCCCCTGAGAAGCAAGGAAGGAAAACTTGGATGTTTAGAGGATTATTTGAAATTAATTTTATTCAGAAAATATTTAGAGCAGCAATATTAGCTGCTTAACACATTTTTGAGAATTAAATATAAGCTATTTTTAGGGAGAGTCACACATTTAATATTTAGCTGATTTAGCTACGTAGCTGTTTAGCATACTTACGAACAAATTAACATGACTCTACAAGACATAATGAGGAGGTAGTAAGTGTAAAGTAAAAAGAACGCCTTCCTCTACAGCTCCGTTCCTCAGACACAACTACTGTTAGCAGTTTGAAGTCACCTAATTTTATTTGTTACTAATGTAATATATTGATATGACATATCATAATATATGTTACGTGTATGTGTGTATATATATGTCAAACAAATAATATACATATTAAGGTGAAGTCCGCTAACTTTGAAAGTCTAGTACAAGGACATTTTTAGGAATCTCCTTCCCAGATTTGTACTTCTGTTTTTTGCAGTATTTTTTTTATTTTTTATTTTTTATTTTTATTTATTTATTTATTTATTTTAAAAGATTTATTTATTTGTGCATACAGAACTGGGGTACAGGCCAGAGGCTCAGGGGCGGCGAGAGGCTTCACCAGAGACAGAGTGGGGAACAGAACAGGCAGATCGACGAAGTACACTGCTGAGGGGAGCAGCGGGTGGGTCAGGAAAGGTCTGCCGCGCCATGTGGTCACCTCCGGGGCAGGCGGGAATTGAACTCATGTGGAAGCGGCTTTAGATTTTCAGTGCTGTGCTTTAACCCGCTGGGCCACCAGGGAGGGCCTTTTTGCAGATCTGCTATTTTTAAGCAGATGTGATGTGTGGAATTACCAGTGGTTTTAGAATAGCTGTGTGTTCAAATCCTAACTCCATCCCAGAGCAGCAATTTGCCATTTTGGAAAGTTCCTTACCTTTCTGAGCTTTCTTTCGATTGTTTCAACAACAAGGCTTACTAAATATTGCCTTCTTTCTGAAATTTAATCATCCCTAGCTGCTCTTTTTTCTTTTCTCTTTTTAATAGGAAACATAGCTAAGAAGACCTGACATCATAATCCACATCATATCTTCTCTTGGGAAAAATGGGGCTTAGTTTTTAGTGACTCCAGTATGCTTTCCGTAAAGTACCTGTTGATTAGGAGAACATCTCCCCCACTCTCCCAAGTAACTGTCATCAGATTGTAAAAGGTCATTGCATTTACCTGTCCCTGGAATCGTCCTAGAATTTAGATGGCCTCTGCTGGGTTTCATTTTGCACTTATTAATAATGTAGCAGTGGGATAAAAATAAAAACAAAGACTCTCATCTTACAGTGTGAGGACATGGGTCCATGTGTGCTAAGTCAAGCTGGTAAGAAGAGCAGTGGAACCCTGGGGGGTGGCAAGTCTGAAGAAGTACTTCCTGTGGGTTGCTGACTCTCCTGCAGAATGACTGCCTCCAAATGAAAGGGAATTAATGTAATTGCTCCCTAGGAGGAAAATGTATTTTTGCTTTTCAAAGGTTTGTTGTATAAGCTTTAATTATCTAATCCAAACACAACAGCTTTCTGTAAGCGGCTTTCCCTTTCAGCAGTCACAGTCAACTTTCAAACACGCCTGCATTAGACTTGAAAATAAGTCCTGCATTATAACCAGTTCTATATTATACGTCTACTGGGATGCAACAAAATACCATTTTAATGTTGGTCACTGCAAATGGCCTTCAAAGCTAGGGTTTCAGTGGACTTTTGTAATTAATTGAGTGGCAGCTACAGTCATGATTCTTCATTGGTAGAACCTCTGCGACATGTTTTTATGGTTTCATTTTCTGCCTGTTTTGTTTCGCATTCAATTTACTTGGTGGGTGTGTGCTTTGTCATACCTTGTTTACATGTCAAATGAATATGGGGCTTTCTGACTGCTGTGAGAAGTATCTCTTGTCTTTATTTTAGTTTTGCTTTTTGAGAATTCAGATCTGAGGTGATTTCTAGACCTGAATTTTTAAAATTATGTAAAAGATAACATATACATAAGATATTGCTAGCGAATAGTTTCAAGTGTAAAGAAACTTTAAAAAAAGTTTCTTTAAATCCCTACTTTTTTTTCTTTATTAAGGATTTATTTACTTATGTATATAGAACTGGGGTACAGGCCAGAGGTGCAGGGGTGGTGAGAGGATTCACCAGAGACAGAGTGGGGAGCTGAACAGGACGACTGAGGAAGTATACTGCTGAGGGGAGCAGCAGATAGGTCAGGAGAGGTCTGCTGTGCCATGTGGGTCAGCTCCGGAGTGGGCAGGGATCGAACTCGTCGACTGAAGTGGCTTTAGCTTCTTAATGCTGTGCTTACCATGGAGGGCCTAAAATCCTACTTTTAGACACCTGGCATGCTAACATTTTTGTTGTTGAAATGTTTAGATTTTGATTACTAACGAACATATTAGGGAAATAATGCTAGGGAGGAATTTATGAGTCAGTTTGATTCAAACTATAGCAAAGAAGGACCAGTGAGTGCCCTTGACTCAGAATTAAATGATTAAATTGCATTTAGAATAAAACCAATCTTTCCTCATAGTTTGGATTTTCTTTACAAGCTGACTGCTTCTTCCCGCCTTCTCTCCACCTCCCCTAAGCACACTTGTTTCCCACCGAGCTCTTCCCTACAAGATCCTTGCCTGAATTATATTACCCCCACACTCTGGAAAGCTGTTCCTTCTCTCCCCTGCTTCGTCCCCTGGCTCTCCCAGTCTCCCAACACAACTTGCTCCGAGGGCCCTGGCGAAATTACCACAAGCCACTTCTCTAGTCTCTTTCCAGGACCCTGCTTATTTCCATTCCAGCACTTCTTTGTTAATTATCATCTTATCGCCAAAAGAATGTAAATTCTATTAAGAGAGGAACCAGCACCTGATATATACCTGGCGCATATTTTATAGTCAATAAGTTGAATACATGGAAGTTGTTCACTTTTTTTTTTAATTTTATCATAATTTATTTTTACATATTTTTGTGCATTTTTCCATCTCAGTTGCAATCCCCTTGGGTTTCCCATCACCAAATCACCCATGTGCCCTCACCATAGTCCAGTGCATTTCCCTCCCCCCATTGTTTTTGATCCCATTCCCCACTCCACGCCCACAAAATGTCTCTTGTAGATAGCTGTTCATCATTATCATTATTTTCTCGCCTGTTCCGTTATATTCCTGCTATGAGAGAAACCATCCAGTATTTTTCCTTTTCTTTCTGGCTTATTTCACTAAGCATGATCTTTTCCAGCTCCATGTTCACTGGTTTTTAAAAGCACTTTTTGCTCATTTCTTTAAGATGTATTTGTCATGCTGGACCACAGGGATTAAGTATCCTGATAATAAAACCAAACCAGTATGTTCTCCAGTGCTCTTCCCTGCATTTATTTCTCCCTGTTTACTTGTGATTTTATTGAATGTTTAGAGAGTAGCACAGGTTTTCATTAGAGCAGGGAGAGGATTCTGTAGACCTCCCAGGTAATTTGTGCTCATGCTGAGAACACCAGGCACTAAATTACCTCCCAGCAATCTGTGAAGGACAGGGAGCTCTGTATTTATCTTTGGTGAGCATACAGTACCATAATGGAGTTGTTCTGTGCCCCAAGGGGAAAACCCTGCCATTGTGTCTGCTCAGTGTGCCTTGTAAACAGCTCTGGATGGTAGCTTCTCTGTGGAGCTGCCCTCTTTCTCTAAGCTCTTGCCTGAGCTTCAGCTTCAAGCTGAAAAGGACATTTTGGCAGCTCGGTTGCTGTCCAAAGATTAGCGTGATTGCATGACATTGTCACTCAAAGTAGATATGAAATGCAAATTTGGTGAGTAATTAAATTAGCTTCATGTCATTCTTTGGTGGTGTTCTAAATGTCCCTATTTATCTGTCTTAGGTAATCTATTTAAAGAAGACACCAGAAGAAGCCTACAGAGCACTCCTATCTGGCTCAAACCCCCCCTATCTTCCATTCAGGTATAACTGCTTGTGAGACTTGGGCTGTGGCACTTTGCTGCACAGCTTGCTGCTTTAAAGTTGGATTGCTGTGATTTTTAACTGTCTTAGGACCATGATAGTCAATAGAGTGAAATAAAATGGTAGCTTTTTCTTTCACTTTTGCAGAATTACACATTTCCCATATCTAGTAAGAATAAAGTATCTTTATCCTTTTAAGAATTATTGATATTATTAACTGCTTTTTCTCTTGAAATGCAAAGCTCTTTGCCTTGACAGTTTAAGAGTGCCAAGTGGCTATTAACCCTGTCAAGGTTTGGTAGATTTCAGTAATTTCAGTAATCACTGATGCTTCCATTCATTCTTTCATTTTGTGAACATTGAGCTCTGACCGACGTCAGGGGCTGGGATTATAGAACAGGAACTTTTAGGTACCTTCCCAAGAGCACATTTTTCATGGGGACACCCTATATTACCAGTGCAGCACCCAAATCTAACTTATGTCCTGGGGAAGTCTGTCTCTCATGGCAGTGTTGGAAAAGCATATTATTTAAGCTTCAGCTGAAGAAGTTTGTTTAAATAATTTCAGGTGAACAGGAATTTGATTAAAAAGTTGAAGGTAATAGACATCAAATCTCCCTTAATGGTATCTCTGATAGAATTGGGGATGAGGCTAAAAAGGTGATTTTCACTACTGTTTCCCCAATCATTGGAGGGAGTATTACTAGGCAGAGGTGGATGTCAAGGTGAGGAGGAGGAAGGGGAGAGATCACACCTCGTGAAGTACAATGCCATTAATGAAGTACTGGGATTGGGACTGTGAGAGAAAATTGTCCTCTGTCTGGAAATTAGCCAGTGAAGGGCAGGTAAAAAGTTAGAGACTATATCATAGGAGAGTTTTAATGGGTAAACCAATTATTATTTTTTTCTTCTTGTTCCACTTCAAATCCCTTCTATAATTTGAAAGTGCTTTGTAAAATACAATTTGGTGTTTTAGAAGGGGTCATTGTTTTGTTCAGTCTGGGCAGTTGTAAAGTACTTGAGAATAGGTGGCTTCTAAACAACAGAGGTGTAATTCTCACAGTTGTGGAGGCTGGGTTGGGGGGCTAGGTTAGCATTGGACAGATCTGGTGAGGCCTCCTTAGGGTTTCAGACTGCTGACTTAACCCTACACTATGGCATGGTGGAAGGAGGGTGAGAGAGTTCTCTGGGGTCCCTTTTAGAAAGGCACTCATGTCAGTTCTAAGGGTTTAACTTTCATGATAGAATCACCTCTTGAAGGCTCACCTCCTAATACAATTATGTTGGGCATTAAGGTTTCAATTTATTTGAATTGGGCTGGTGGACACCGACATTCACTTCAAGTAATAATGGTGATATTCTTCATAGTACTGAATGTCTAAGCAAGGCGGTTATTATGCATATGTTTTGGCAGCAGAGACACTGGACTTTAGGGCTTGTTCTTCTTCCTCTGTGTAGGACGGTTACATAACCAGGGCAAGTTACTGACCCTTTCTGGGTCTCAGTTTCCTCTTTCGTAAAATGATTTCAGAGCTATCTCAAGGATTAGATGAGGTAATGCCTTTGTCACTGTTGTGGCACAGTACCTGGTTTTGTTTTCCTTGTTGTTAGTACTGTTAGTCACATTGATAAGTAATAAGGTTTATCTACAAATAATACATACAAATATGTATTATTTCTAATGATTACTCATTCTAGTAAGGGCAGGCAGAGCTGTAGGCCCAAAGCCGCCAATTGTCTGAAGGACAGAATTGGACTTTTAGTGCTGAATTTAATGTAATTTTTTTTCAAATAATATATTTATTTTTACATCATTTTAATGTAATTTTTTTAACATGGCATGACTAAGTATATACAGTTGTTGATTTATAATGAACCTGAAACCTGTAATGTCATAGAGCAGTGTTGTTTTAATACAAATTATTTTTTAAAAAAGAAAAGGGTGTATAAAATAGAAAAAAAATAATTCTGACAGAGATTTGGGAAAATATCAGATTTATTTAAGTTGAACATTTATTTTTTTTAAAGATTTATTTATATGTAGAAGAACTGAGGTGCAGGCCAGAGGCATGGAACGTGAGAGGATTCACCAGAAACAGAATAGAGAGCAGAACAGGCAGATTGACTGAAATCTACCAGTGTAGTTCACCAAGGGAGAGCAGCGAGTGAGACAGAGGTCTGCTGCACCACATGTGGGTTAGCTGCCTGGCTGAGGATAATCTCAGGCCTGGTGGTGAGAGGATAGATCTCAGGCCATGGTGGTGATTGCCTTGAGACTCAACCCTAGGTCCCAGGGAGGCCCTACACTGAACTTTTAAAGATAGCGAAGCATTTGGAGATGAAGGAAGAGACAGTAGAGGACAGAGGAAGGGAAGGTAGGTAGGTTCAGGACCCCACGGAAAGCCCCAGTAATGATGTGTCTGAGAGGGCTTCAGAAAGCCTCTGGGGTGGGAACAATGGCCCTGGTGAGAGGGGGAACTACTGTAAAGGGATTATTGATACGCTTTTCTTGGAGTCAGTGAAGGTTCACTAAATTTTTTTTTTTTTTAATTAGAAAAGTGTTTGTCATCTTTCTGCTGTTATTTTGAAAATAACACCTGATCCTGGGAATTGTAATGCTTGGTAACATTTGTAGAGTTGCAGCTCTAGTTAATGGGCCCATGGACACTGTAGCTGTTTAAAAATTTGAAGTGGAAAACATTAATTTTCATGCTTATCATATTATTCACTCAGAAGTCAAGGGAGATGGATTTCTGTTTCCCTAGCCAGATGAGCGTTGCTTTCTTTAATTGCCAATTTAGATGAGGAAGATGGAGGGAGAAAGAAATTCTTCCTTTAAACGTCATTCTCTTAAGCTTATATGTACCAGCTAATTAATTGTTCTCTGAGAACAAGATCTTTCTAATAACTAATAAGATTAGAGTGGGAAAGATAGTTAGAAATTCATTACTTCTTAATATGGAATTAAATCATAATTATCACAATGGTATCTGCTTTTACCAAATTGTTTTTATTTAAATATTTGAAAATATAAATACATTAAAATGGTCCAAAGCTTAAAAAATAAATAAAGTTTACAGTAGAAGTGTTTTCTTTCACTCTTTAGTCTCTTCTGGTTAATCCTGTATCAGTGACTTCTGGTTTTGGTTTATTCCATGTCCTTTTGTGAGTTTATTGATGCATATATAAGCAAGTATTGACAGTTCTTGCTTTTCAAATTTTATCACAAAATGTAGCATATCACATGAAGTATTGGGTACCTTGATTTTTTTCCACTTAATTTACCTTGTATTCATTTCCATCTACATAGTATCCTTCATTTTTACTGAGCTTATTATAACTTATAAGAATTTATTTAATCAGTCTGACAGGTAGAAATGTAAGTCATTTTCTGTTATTTTAATTGCAGCTTTTTAATTTATACGGCCTCAAATATATTTTAGAAGAAACTGAGACAGTACTGCAAGGGAAATTATACTGTTGTATAATTTTGTGGTTATAGATTTTAGTCATCTGTTTACATGAACGTATTTATATAAAAGGGTGCTTGATGCAGATGTGAGGTATTTTCCTTTATTTAGGCACCTAATACTCACTAAAAGTTGATATTGAATGTGACTGAGTTTTATAACTTAGATATAACTAAAATTAACTGGAGGTGTCAAGAGTGGTTTTCAGGGCCCTCCTTGGTGGTGCAAACGGTTTAAGCGCAGAACTAGGAAGCTATGGCAGCCGCTTCAGTGTGACTTCGATCCCCAGCCAGGGAGCTGACCCACATGTCGTGGCAGACCTCTCCTGGCCCATCTGCTGCTCCCCTCAGCAGGGTACTTTGTCAGTCTGCCTTGTTCTGCTCCCCACTCTGTCTCTGATGAATGTGCTCACCACCCCTGCAACTCTGGCCTGTACCCCAGTTCTGTATGCATAAGTAATCTTTTTTTAACCAAAGAAAAAGTGGTGTTTACATTAAACTCTATGTCTAAAAACATTTTTCATAAATCATCTGAAACAAAAAATACTGCATTTTTAATTTATTGAGGAACTTAGTAGAATGAAGGTTACTGTTTTTCTAGAATTTGACTAAGGAAATTTAATTTTTTCTAAAGTAAGATGTGAGTTGATTAGTTTATAGCTCAGACTGAGTAAGGTTATCAACATTATCACGACTCCTGTTCAGACTAGTTCTGGTCAAAGTCATTAGCTTGGCCTTTATTTATAGTCTGAATTCTACTGTCCAGTGGGCTTTTCACCCATTTGTTGTTAAGTGACTATTTTATGTTTATTGTCTAGATTTTATTTTCATTTACATTACTGCTACATTAACTCTTTAATTTCAAAGCTCAGAAGATGAAAAGGAACCTTACTGTAAAGATAGTAAAAATTGTTTTATTTTTTATCCTTTGTAAAAAAAAAATGAAGACTATTTTGAAATTTCTTAGTGTGGTTGGTGTCTTCATATTGCATTGAATTGCTTCTGTTCCCATCTTTTATACAGTTTTTTTAGTGTCTTTCTTAATAGAAGCATTTTTAATAACTTAAATAATGCTATTTTTCATGTTTTACATACTCAACAAACATTCATCGGAGTAGTCTTTTCTGTATCTTTCTAGAAAGACTTGGCATGTCCCTTGCCTGTAAATCCCTCTTACATTCTGTTCCTGTGCCACTGTGCCTGTTACACACACTCATAAAACAATGCTGTATTGTAAGGAGTTGTTTGCAAGTCTCACTCTCCACCAGACATGGCAGGCTCTCTCATTAATGGCTGGGGTGGAGTTCTCTTCTTATTTGTATGCCAAGGAAAATGCCCATTAATTTACAGCCTTTTCTAGGCCAGTCACTGTGATGTTCCCACAGACATTCAGAGAAAGTTACCTTCTCCACAATAGGTCAGTCATTTTACAAAGTCACGTTAATTGCACTTTGTCTACGAACCCCCAGACCACTGACACTTATTGTTTTTCTCTTTCTGCCTTATTTTGCCTAGCATCATCCCTCATAGC